TAATTTTGTGCACGCGATTTCTCGAAGACTACTGGATGGAATTATATGAAATTTTCAGAAAAGATGTGTCATAATATGAACTTGATCATCTGAGCGATTTTTTGAAAATTCTTTCTGGTGCCAAGTTACGGGACATTTTCTGAAATTAAAATGACATTTTGTCCACGATTAAACTCAAAAACGGTAAAAGATATCAACATGAGACTTTCAGGGATTATAGATCGTGATATTTACTATCCAGGACGCGATCTTTCGTTCGTTGTCGGTACTTCCGCTCGTTACCGAGAAACGAATCAAAAAAATTGTATTTTCTAACTTTTTTGTTTTTCAATATTTTTTATTTATTTTTGGAATATTAACAGAGACCCTTCTATTGATGCTTACTATATAAGTTGTTTGAATATTGGTTAATCTGAATCCTAGATATTAATATTTGAAAATCTGAAGCGGGCCCAAGATGGCGCCTGCCTCTGTCAACTCCGCCATTTCGGGAGTAGGGGTTTATGGAGGCAGCTGAGCGTTTGATTAAACAATTCTGACATAAGGATACGTGAAATGTAAAAAACTACTTGGACTTTCACGTAGTAGTACGTTGTTATTACGTGTCAATCTTAAAACTTAATTTCCGTTTCACTGCTTTAGTTTAATTGGGCTAGATATGATATGTAATGTGTACAATGTGTTAAATATACCTTCTTAACGTCGAAATAAAATTAAGGCGATAAGAACGTTTTATTTATTTTATTTCATTGAAGCTATCACACCTATTTAATAGAATATTTACTCCTGGCGTTTGGCGCGAAATTATCAATAGTGGCCCGCCTTTTATAATTCCTAGACAGGTGTATTGTTGCAAATGTATACACAAGTATATTTAGAGCAGTGCTCCCAAAAGCTTAATGGTTTGCGCGTTAATAGATCACGTAGTAATTACGTTGCAATTCTGTGTTGAAAATTTATTCTAGGGTCTTATCAAAGTCTTCTGTAACGTGTTTTGGTTTTTTCTCGAAAGTAGAAAAAGAAAAGACTTTTGTGCAACGATTCTCAAGATAACGATATCGATATATCTTTGATATGTGATGACGATACGCATTCGATACAAATGAAGATTTTTATAGGAAATATCATCAGCCCATGAAAATCTTTCTATTTTTCTTCTTTCGTTGTTTATTTAACATTTGGGGTTTAATATTAAAAAAAAAAGATATAAAAAAATATGAAATAAATAATAATTAACACCATGTAACTTTTTTGTTTTTCAATAAACAACTCTTTTATAAATTATTTTTGCAAAGAATATTTGTTTAAAGATGCAAAAAAAAGATTTTATAAGCAATAAAAATTTTTTCTATTGATGCTTACTATATAAGTTGATATGAATAGTTGGTTAGCAAATGAGAGATACCTATTATCATTTAATTTTGAAAAACAGATCTTAAATCATAGTTATAAGTTATAGTTTTTCAAGAAACAATGTCGATGCATGTATATAGTAAGTATAAAACGTATAACCACTGTTTTTCCCATGCACACTTGTGTGATAATAAACGAATAGAAAAGACAAAAATAAGAAATCCATTTTAATAAGATCGTCTAATGGAGTTTATATTAACATTCTTTTATCAAAGATCTGAATCAAGTTATTGAACATAAATGGTATCTGATTCCTTTACTGTCATAGAGCGAGGCATCTTTTTCGGCAAAACATTTCAACCTTTTTATGAAAGTGTAACTAATCGGCATAGTTCACTTCTGAGACGAGAAATAAAAAATTAAATTATAGTCATTTCACTGCTTTTGTGTTACTTTTCTATAGAATGTGTACAATGTGTTAAAAACATTTTCTAAACCTCGAAATGTAGGCTATGAGAACATTCTTTTTTCTTAATATCATTGAAGCTATCACACCTATTTAATACATCAGTCCAATGAAAAGGCGCGAAGATTTAACGTGGCGTTTGGCGCCAAATTATGAATAATGGCCTGTCTTTTATAATTCTTAGACAGGTGTACTGTAGCAAAAGTATACACAAGTACATTTAGAGCAGTACTCCCAAAAGCTTAATGGTTAGCGCGTTGGGGATAAAATGGGGGAAAAAGCGGATTGGATTTTCACGCTGGCGACCTGGTTTTAATTTGTGACCAAAATTTTTGTTTACTTCTCAGCTAACTTTACGAGTTTTTATTTCCAGGGACCTCTCGTTGCTCGCAAACGTCTATGTTCCCAAACGGAGTTCTGTAACGTGATTTTTGTTTGGTTTCTTATTATTATTATTATTATTAAATTATTAAAAGATTATTATTATGTGCAAATGAGAGTTACCTATTTTTTGTCCGCAAGAGACATGAAAAACATTTTGATCTTAAATCCTTTTTAGGGTTATAGGTGTGTGGTTTTTCAAGGAACAATTTTGTCGCATACGCATGCACGTATATAGTATGAGTGAAAAAACGTATAACCACTGTTTTTAACTTTTACATTTTTTAATAAAATGATTCGAAACTCATTATATAATAAAGATATAAAATAATGTAGATAATATGACACTGTCAAATTTTAATACGCGCATGCACGTGCGCTAATGGAGGTTTATATTGGCTGAAATCAAAAATCTCAATATATTTTCAACGTTGATTGAAATTTAAAGTATGGTACTTTAGTTTAATTCCTTTACTGATCATAATGAGCTTGAAAAAAAACATTTTAAACTTTAAATGAAAGCTATAACTAATTTGCATTTTTCACGTTTGGCGCGAAATTAGAATAGGATTTAGAACATAGACAGGTAAATGAAATTATAGGTGTCTTTTCGCATGCTTTTGTGTTCGTTCTGAATGCGGTACAAAAATGTGTTCAATATATTTTCTGTTTTTTCGAAATGCTATGAAATGACAATATATATCATTACTTTTGAATGTACTACAATATGATATATAACAATTATCGTAAAAACTCGCTCGTGCACATGTGCTATTTAATCTGATTCAGCTTTAATTTAAACGGCTATAGATTTGTTTTTCAACCAAGTTAAACAGGATGGGATTAGCAACATTATGAATAATAGACGTCTTTTATAATTCTTAGACTTTTGTGTATGCACGTGCAAAAGTAAATATACACAAGTACGCTTAGAATGCACTGCATTTTTTAATCACTCCTGGATTAATTGATTTGATATTAAGTATATTCAAATATATAATGGTTAGCGCGTTGGGGATAAAAGGGGGAAAAAGCGGATTGGATTTTCACGCTGGCGAATGGTTTTAATTTGTGACCAAAATTTTTGTTTACTTCTCAGCTCGACTTTAAAGTGTGTCTTTTAATTTCCAGAATCGGACGGAAGACCTCTCGTTGCTCGCAACGAGATCGTTTCTAGTTATTATTATTTTTCTTCTTCTTCCTGGGTACTTTTTTGTCCGCGAGTGATCTTGTAAACTGTTCACCCGAAGTAGGTAAAATCTTTTTAGGGTTAGAAGACATGTTATGTAGATTTGCGGAATCAAGGTCATTTTCCGCGCACGTGCTTGCAAGAGCGTGCACGTGCAACACGTGAAAAAAACCAATATAATAGATATGGCCGTAACTTTTCTATTTTTTGACTATATCCTTTGAAACTCATAATATAAGTATATATTAGTTCTATAGGCATGATGACATGTTCCTCACGCACGTGCTTGCAAGAGCGCGCACGTGCAACACGTGAAATGTCTAATATAATAGATATAGCTGCAACTTTTCTATTTCTTGATGAAATGCTTTGAAACTTATAATATGAAGATATATTAGTAGTAGAGACATGATTACACGGTCAAAATAGCAAGATCTCACGCGCATGCGCGTGCACTTTGCTCTGATTGGCTGAAACAAAAGTATCAATATCTTTCTTGTTTTTCGACAAAATCCTTTGAAATTTTGAACATACTCATACACTATAAAGATCTACAGCATGATTTAAAAGAATTATCTTGAAAACATGCGCATGCACGTGTGCTGCAACCTGATTGGCTGAAACTTTAAATGTCTGTAACTTTCTAAGTTCTCAACGAAACGGGATGAAATTCAGAATATCAATAGGTATAATTGATTCCTAAATTATGCTTCTATCAAATTTGAATGCAAGGACATGCATGCATGCACGTGCGCATGTGCAATACGTAAAATCACCAAAATATTCGAAAAATGGTAACATTTATATTTTTATGATATTTTGATTGATTCTCACGATAAAAAGATAGGTTAATGGTTTACACAACATGCCTTAATCATCTTGCATGTGCATGCAAGTGCGTGCGCATTCAATACGTTAAATGGGATATAGTTGATATCATTGTAGTATTGATAATTCTTTGATGAAATCCTTTGATACTGAGCATATTTTTAAAAAAAGTCTTACAGGAAAATGGATCAAGAAGGGAGTTGGGGAGCGTTTGGGGAACATCTGTGACGGTCCCCGTTACAATTAGAACTAGATTTTGTTGCAATTGATGCAAATAATAAAATTTCTATAATATGAAGAAATTGTTAACTTTCTATGATGTTTAAAATTCAACTTCTCTGCAACCATCCTTATTAATCTATAAAATTTTATGTATTTGTTCTGTATCATCTGTATTAATAATATGTAATACAGTGAACATAATTCAAAGCTACAAAACCGTAAGAACTATTGTCCTGTGATATTTGAGATTTTGGCAAACTTTGAAAGTTATAGGATTGATTTGTTCATTATTGCTTCTAGTAGAATATTCCATGCTATATTTCGGAGATCGAGGATAGGATATCGAACTGCTTTGTAACTTAGATTAAATTAGGTAACTCGAAAGTTGTCAGATGCTTATATGCCAACATTGGAAATAATAACTTGTTTATATCTCAATTAAATCATGCAAAATGAATATCGCATTTTCAGCAATACTATATAATTAAAAGTACTCATCAATGATAACCAAGCCCAATTCATATTGAATAACTGATTGAGATTTGTCATTTTTCTCAACAGAAGTCTCTATTTCAACACTGAGGCCATCAAACGAATCCACTTTGTCAACAGAGACACCATCTCCCACTAAGCACACATCTGAGGCGTATATTGCATTGGGTGTAATCACGCCCATTTTTCTCTTCATAATTATTAGTTCTGTCTGCTTTTGTGTATGGAAAATGTACCAAAGAAAGTTAGAAAATACTAAGCCGACACCAGATCCCAAGTTTGTCCATGGCGAAATAAGAAATCGGCGACTCACTGTCCAATTTGAGGGAGCACTACAAGCGGAAATTAAAGAAACACGAAAAAATATATCGCATCAAACTGGAAATAGCTTTCGTTCCTCAACTATACCATCTGATATGAGTGACGACTCCAGTACTAGACCGTCTAGTTTGACATCTTTATTAGTAAGTGTTCCACGCATTGTCACTAAAGAGGACTGTGCTGAAAATCAGAGTTTTAAATTTCAAGAAAGTGTAATAGAATTAACAGAAAATGAGTCAACATCTTCACAAATAAAAGAGTCGTTTAGAAATCCTGGATTTAATACAATAGGTGTTGACACGGCAGATTTAAGAAGAACAATGAAGAAAAAAACAGAATCGAAGAAAACACTTCGGAAAAAATTCCGATTAAGGCGTTCCAGGAGCTCTGTTAGGGATAGTTTGTTGACATCTAAGGGATTAAAAGACGAATCACGAATCTCAAACAGAAAGCCTTTGGTAAGTTGTTTATAAAATATACCGGTATATAAATTAAAAAGTTACAAGTTTTAGCATAAGAATTTTATAATTCATACCTTACATATGTGTCTGGTCTTTAACCTGTAATATTCAGTCCGTGCTGCCTGGTCATTTGTAGTGTTTGATGTGTTCAAAAAGTAGGAGTTAGCATTTCCTGTTAACCGCATGGTCTGTGTCATGATCGACTGAACGGAATCTACGTGCGAAAAATGGTCGAGCAAATTGTTTTAAACCGGAATCTCTGTCGAGACTGTAGCTCTACTGGTTTGTACTTCTATCAAAGGAAGAAAACTGTAGCAGTTGGGACTGAAACTTTACAACAGCAATAAACAGAACTATGATCCTTGATTAAGTCTCTTTTTGTGGCAAGACTGCAATAAGACTACAACGGTCGGAGTAGCTTTTGAATTTTTTTTTACAGAATTTTCAATTTTAGTTACCATGGCAATATCATTCATAAAAAAATAAATAAAGACAATTATGTATTTTAGTGTAATCTACTTTCATTAAATTATAATCAGACTAAAACTGTGTTTGGAGTAGCAATTTAAAAGTTTTTCACAGAAATATTTTTATTTCTTTAGCCATATTACATGTAATACTGTTCATTGGAATCAAAAACCGATGGATAGAATTATGTATCTTAGTGTAATCTACTTGCGTGCCAAGTTATATTGAAATTAGACAAAAACTGTAGAAGTAGCATTTTGAAAGTATTTCACAGATATTTCTATCTTAGTAACCATGGCAACACTGTTCATCGAAATAAAAACAACACATAATTATGTATCTTAATGTAGTCTACCTGTGTGCCAAGTTATATTATTGAAATCATTTTAAACCTGTGTCGAGAAGTAGCATTTTGAAAGTATTTAACAGAAATTTCTATTTTTAGTAAGCACAACAATACCGTTCATCGAAATCAAAAACCGATACACAGAATAATGTATCTTAATGTGGCAGGGATGGGGTCAATTACATAGAAAAGTAATTTATTTACTTATTTAGCTACAATTACTTACCAAAAACCTTCAATTAAATGACCATTACCATTACATGGATTTTGAAATGTAATTCATTAAATAACAAATACTTTTCAAATATAATTAATTAAATTACAAATTACATTCAAGAATACACGTAAAAAAGTTCATAGTCATGTACATTCCTTTATATTTATATCTGTCTTTATTTTACAACATTTTTTTACGATAATATTATTTAAATCTTCATACAATTTTCATATACTGTGTTCACTAACCTACATGTACATCAATTAGATTTGAAGATGTCTCTACCGCACTGAAGATTTTTTTTTCTTGCCATTGGGATATTTGTGAGAGGAATGTATACATGTAGATACTGACCTGTAGAAAGTTTACTCAAGGTTTTACCTTAATTCATGTGTAAAAAAATTGAAATAATTTTTACGCTTTCCAATATATTTATGTTAAACGTACAACGCTTTTTGCCTTAATATTTCCTTATTTCAGCATCATAAGCTACATCTCATAATGTGGGTATTTGACTTTTTCTGTGCCAATCAAACTACAATTTAAAGTCAAAGTGTGTGTATAATACCAACAGACAAAGTCAAAATGTGCGAAAATTTTTATTTAGAAATAAGTACATGACCCCAGGGCACTAATTAGCACATGTTAATAACTTTGAACACAAGCTGAAGATATGGCAAACAAAAAGGATTAGAAGCCACTGGACTACTCATTTTCATATGTATTAAGTAGTCGGATCTGCAGGTTCATAAAATTACCAGTAAAGGGGACCGACTATAGTTTCCATTGCGCAATATTTCGCGCATCATAGTAAAATGAAGCGTATTTGCTGTTTTAACGCAACTTTTTTCGCTTAATTATTAAAATTAAACAAAATTAAGAAATTATAGGTATACAAATGTAATTACAATTTGAAATAACTGAATCTTTAACTGATTTTGCAATTGATAGGTAGGTTGACGTCGTTACAGTGTGTTTTTGACGCTATGATAATCTGAAGCTCTAAAAGAAAGGGGTAATAAAAATGTTATTAAAGAAAAAAGAAATTTGAAACATAGAAATTTGAGAATATCTCCATTATTGCAGCCCGGAGGACCGGATTGCTCTATGCATATAAGTTTAAGTGTTGGTGTATGGGGATTGAGGTGGGAGAAGTAATTCAGAATTAAAAGTTTTCTAAACATTAAAAAGATTGTTAACCAGAATGTTCTTTCCCTTTATAAATTAAGAGAAACATAATATATTTACTTCCATATAGTGAATTTGTAAAAATATATATGTTTTTGATATTTAATGTATAAAGTTGCTTATCATTTACTATTGAAAAAACGACAGGTCCCTTTTTTTAGAACATAGAAATTTATTTATCGCATAAAAACGCACTCTACACAGTTCGTTCTTATATTCTTAAAGTAAAGTGAAATACATTTTTGAAAATAGGTGATGCATGAGTCTAGTTTCAATTTATATTTTATGCAGCCAATATTTACTTGATGAATTGATAAAGTTTAAAAAGGGTATCGTTTTTGTTCGATTTTCATCGGACTATAAGTTTTCAAATATTCTCGATTATCGTCTCTATCATTTAGACACATGCCTGTTTCACACATATCGAAGCGGTTTGATGATCAAGACTTATTTCCATTGTTTACTTTATTTATTTCCCGGGCGACAATTGATGATTACATCAATGTTTTCTTGTTTTATGTTTTCATATGAATTCTTTGTGCCCGTCATATTTTGTAGTACTCTATAAAAACAGTAAAATTCGTAATTTTTTTGCATTTTGAGATGCCCCCTCTGGTAACAATTTCTAAGCAGTATTCCAGGGACTCATGTTGAACCCACAAACATTTCCACTTCTAAAGATATGAATTCCTAAATCTCATAATGCATGGGAGAATGGTTTATTCTACATATTCCCACTTTTTGAAAATCAGCTAGAAATAGGTAAGATTTTATGTGGGAATAGATGGAATTTTTGTGTAAACAAATAATTACCTATATAAACATATAAATTATTATATAAATACTGTATAAACAGTGATTCATGAACTCCTTTTGGAATATAGGACAGGTATATATGCTTCTTAAAATTGTAAATCAGACTTTTTTCCTAATATTTGATTAGGGAAAAATGGACATTTTAAATTGAATATCACCATGTTTTCCCCGTTTGTATTTTCTAAAATTCACCTATTTCAATGCATGTTTAAAAATATTGCTCTATTTTTATTTAATGTTTTCAAATCAACATAATAAAGTGTGTATCCTTTATAACATATTTTCTAAAATTATATTGTAGAATTCATATACCGGTATTAAATTAAAATAAATCATTCTTATCATAAGTCTATTTATTTTCTGTTCAACATATAGGTAAATCTAAGATGGAATGTAATTAGTATAATTACCGTAAAAACATGATTACGTTAACAAAACATTAATTGTTATTTGCAAGTGGGAATAGGTGGAATTGAGATTTTTAAAACGTGGGAATAGGTAGAATGGTGGGATTTTCAGTCCCACCAACTATCCCACGTTTCTTCCATGGGAGAAAAAAATGTCAGATGGGATACCTTCTCCAAGGGGATTTTTTCACCCATGAATTTGTTAAAATGGGATAAATCCCACGGATATTGACAATGAATTATTTTCTCCAGTACACTGTTATTGTTGGTATATTCTCTATATATTATGATGAAAAAATTGTCATTGTCATACTGTATGAGATATATTTCATGTTTCTCAATGTATGGGAGAAATTGTTTGATTGTCAATATCCGTGGGATTTATCCCATTTGAACAAATTTGTGGGAGAAAAAATCCCATTGGGATAAAACATCCCATCTGACATTTTTTCTCCCATGGGAGAATGATGGGATAGCTGGTGGAATTCAAAATCACACCATTCTCCCATGGGATTCTGAGTTTTAGGACTCCATATCTGTAGAAGTTGAGATGTTTTTGAGCTCAACATAAGACTCTGGGATACTGCTAGGAAATCCCGCCAAGTGATACAAAAATATTTTTGATATTACAATGAGAAATGGTAGTAAAAGTCTGGACTATGTCGCGTCCAGAGTTAAATGTCGTACTGTTATTTCACAAAATTTATATTTTTAAGTAACCATGGCAATACCGTTCATCGAAATCAAAAACCGATACACTGAATTATGTATCTTAATGTAGTCTACTTGTTTTCCAAAATATATTGAAATCAAACTAAAAGTTGTTGGAGAAGTAGCATTTTGAAAGTATTTCACAGAAATATTTATTTTTAATAATCATGGCAACACCTTTCATCGAATTCAAAATCCGACACGCATAATTATGTATCTAAATGTAGTCTACCCAAGTTATACTGTAGTCAGACCAAAATTGTAAGAGGAGTATATCATTTTGAAAAAAAAAATGTTTACAGAAAGACATACTGACAGACGTACGAACGGAAGAATGACACATTACTATCGCATAAGCTCTTCTGGTCTCTGACCAGTATAGCTAAAGAGTCAGTCAACATTTGACTTAATTATATTAGATTGTATTTGCTGACAAGGTCATTATCGAGAGTTTTGAATTACTGAATAGTTTATCACATACATGACTTTTCTGATTCCTTATATTTAATCTCTCTCTCTCTCTCTCTCTCCACGATGTATATAATAATTTAAACAATTTAAAGATATTTGCATATTCCTCAAGTGACACTTTTTTGTGCAATGTACAATAATGTATTTTTTTTTTTTTTACATATTTTAGAAATCTATAGTATCATATGGAACGAAGACCGTAGTTCTTGGAATACAACCACCTCCAAGTCAACAAAAGAAATTGGTATGTTATATTGGTTATTCGTAAAAACTTCATCATCATTATTTATACAAATGAATTAATACAACATCAAATGGCTTGTAAAACAGTTAATTAAAATTTGGACAGCTTAGACGTTCACATAAAAAATCTTCGTTTTTGGACAAAATCAACGAGGAACCTTCAAGTACACGTGAGAAAAATAAAAAGCACAAGGATTTAGAAAAAAACATTACAGCAGAAAAGGGAATTAAACCTTTGAAAGAAACTATTGACAAAAATTCTGAGGTAAGTAAACTAGTACATGTGAGTTTAAATTACATTACATGTATCCTTTTGGTACCTAAATTTCTTATTTAAGGTCATACACAACGTAGTTGAACTTTTCTGTCTTTTTCGATGGAGCAGAAGAGTTGAAGCAACTGTGTGTTATATCTTAATTTCTACGTATGGTGTTGTACACTTATTAAAAAACAATTTTGGATAAAAGAAACATCTAGAATATATGTTTAGTATTTTTTATATATTTTTCTTTGAATCATCCAAAAATTTTCATCAATTTTTATCTCTCAAAAACCCCTGGCAGACGCGGATCCAGAAATTTTTTCCAGGGGGGGGGGGGGTCCATCCCAGTCAAAAAAAATCCAATCCCAGAAATTTCTTGACAAGCAAAAAAAAAAAAATCTAAACTCGCCCAAAAGTCAAAAACCTATTTGGTGGTGGTGGTGGTGGTGGTGGTGGTGGTGGGGGGGTGTATCTATGACTTCTATTGCCTCAAATCTTTCACTTTTAATATCAATTTCACACCTATTCGCGTTTACCAGGGGGGAAGGAGGTCAGCGTTTTCCAAAGGGGGTGCATGGTAACTTTTTCCTTGCTTTAGTATATACACTTGTATACCTTGTAAATTCCAGGGGGGGGGGTCCTGACCCCGACCCCCCTCCCCCTCTAGATCCGCGCATGCCTGGTAATGCATGCTGATTTTTTTTGTCTATGAACATCTGATGACACTTTTATCTTAGATTAAGAATATCTTGAAAAATTATCGGTAAGTAAGGTACAGTTCTGTACGTTGCGCATGTCCTTAATGTAATCTTTCAAACATACATGTATATACTTTGTGGAATACCACATGGACTGTAAACAAATGACATTTCTTATGATCTTCTTCATGCTTCTTTGTTACTTAAGGAATAACTGTCTTATTTTTCGATTTCATGATGTGATCAATTGATCGGGTTGCGTGATAAAATTATCACGCAAGCCAATCGATTGATCATCGTCATGAAATTGAAAAATCTGACACTTATTCCTTATATTTACATACTTTTATTCCGCCAATCCACGTGCTCCAAGCCCTGCTTCTGTCTAGCTATTTGCTCCTCCCTGCACGTGGTTTTTTTTGAACCGCGTCAATACATTGATGGGGGAAATAAAGTACATTTACAATTGGTAATTTTATCTCGGACAAAGACATAATTGTTATTGGAAATGTAAATATTTGGGGGTAAAATATGTGGTGATATCGAACAATTCGTAGGACTATAGACTGACGCAACTGCTTCTGCATCTTCGCTAGCCAAGGGTTTCCGATCCGAAATCTACTCTACAACCCTTGGCAGATTTGGCTGAAATTTTCAGAACTCACGCAAACGAATTTAATTGGCTGCGAAGTCCCAGTTTACGCAAGGTTTTTACTAATCGACGATTTTCGGCTGAATTAAAGTCTGTTCGTGTTTTATGCAAAAGAAGAGTATTATAAATTTACAAGGGATGAAAGTTAGGACGTGATATATGCTAAAAATAAACAAGGGAATAAATATAAGTTTTTAATAATATTATTTCGAAAAAAGAAATTCAGAATAATTTAAAATTGCTGATTGATATCTTCAATGTTTTTACTTGTATAATAAAACTTCTTAAAAATTGAAGAGAACTGTCATATTTTTATTTTTTCTTATCATATTTTCGCATATTTGTACAAAGAACGATAACTCTTCACACTTGGGCGTTTTTTAAAACATTCAGAAAAAGCAACATTTCTTCAATAGTATATCTATTTCAAAAGGATTTTGGCTCTAAAAATAAATAGAAGAACTTAAAAAATCATAGAAATCATTCTGACTGGAGTTATACTCTTTATTAAAGCTTTGTCTTTTTCATCATAGTATTAAATTATTGATTTTTGTCATAGGGATTTAATAACGTTGATCGATGACGTCACAACTGCATCAAAACAAAAATTAAGAGAATGTGACGATGGCGCAGCTTGTATCCAGATAACTGTGTTTAAGAGGCAAATACTTTATATATTATTCATGATTTAATGGAGAAAATATGCAATGGTCAGATATACTGATTTTATAGCCGTGTGTTTTTCTTTCCTGAAGGCAACAGGCCGCATCCTTATGTAAGCCAGGATTTCCTCTGATATTCTTGACAACATCAAAGAATGCAAATATAAGTAATAAACAACGATTATTCAGTGAACATGGCATTATGAATAGCAATAGCTCTGCTGGCATATTTTCCATGATGCGCTAGGGCGCATCATGGAATATGCCAGTAGAGCAATTGCTATTCATACAATGTAACGCCATGTTCACTGAATAATGTTGTTTATTTCTTAATTAGGAGCGGAACAAACACAGACCTCCAAAAATCAGAAGTGGGATCAGGGCTCATGGAGGAGTGAGCATCCTCTGCTGAACAATCACACCCGCTGTGTGTTCCTTGTTCGGGGAAATAAAAAAAACTGGAAAAAACCAAATAAATACAATTCATTGTGTATATAATGGCCTTACAATTAGTCAGCAATTGACTCAATGATAAACTGTACTGATGACAAGATCATTGTATCGACAATAGAACTTACTGCTGATATTCTTGTTTTATCAACTTGTCTGTCCATAATTTATCTTGTTTTAGAAATGCATAAACGTAGAGTATGTTCTTGCGTATCGAATCAATTGAAACCCCGTATACAGACGATCAAGGGTTGTTGCGGCATAAGGGAAGTTGATAATTGAAAAGATAAAGCCATCACGTTTATCATAGAGCTTGGTTGTCAGATTACCATTAACTTCCTATTCAAGGAAAATATCAAAATATGAAACAAATGTGTCAGACTTTGTTGTATTTTTTATCTCAAGCTCACCAGGATATATGGTATTGACATAAGAATTGAATTGTTAATTGACAATACGTCGTCCATATATCTAAATGTCGATTTGAAGGCAACAGCAAGGGTAAGACAAATGCCATACACATTTTTTAAAATGTTACAGCTCCTTTTCATGACAGATGAATTTTTAATTTAGTATAGCTACAGGTAAGTGCTTTAATAGTAAGAAATGATCGATAATTTTTGTCTCCCGCTTTTCCAAAATTATTTGTGTCTTTCTGTCCTTTTGTCCGTCATTCTGTCTGTCTTGAGCACTTGCGTTTCCGGATTTCGCAAGAAGCCTTTAAACTTCTGCAGTGAAATTAGACAATTAGGAAAAATCCATAGTTCAATATGGTCCAAAAAGACCCTAATGAATTTTGAGGTGAAAGCTAAAAATTCATTTATTCTGTTTATATGGAACAATTTTATTTCCGTACGACATCTTTTAAGACATCTCTTTGATGCAGGGCTGTTTATTACTGCTTTATACGTGTTTGCCCAACACTGGTTTTTAAATAGCAATTGTGATATGTTTTAGAAAAAAGACACATATACAGATTTATCATCAGTTTGTAATATAGCTGCAGAACTGTAGCTCTCTGCTTGAGAAAATTTGGACAGATAAAGCAGAGAGCTACAGATCCATGCGTTGTGAAAACCTTCGATTTTCGCCGACGATTTTTTGTCGCTCCCTTATATTTGAGGTTTTTCACAGCTTTATAAATGATATCTGATAATTAACCATTATAGATTTAACGCCTACCGGTATTCCTCAATGTTAATTTACCTTTTAACGGTTCACATGGTTCAAGAATGGACGTTTGTGGAAGTGGTCGTAAAAGTGGATCTGTAATATCCATACATGTAGCTCTACGACTGTTTCGGGCCGTTGAAAGGTAAATAAAGTACCAATAATTTGAGTAAAATATATGATTAATTATTGGATACCATTCTAAGAGCGTAAAAAGGCATAAACTACAAGAAATACCTTGAGTGAGCGACAAAAAAATCATCGGCGTAAATCGAAGGTTTTTACAACGCATGGATCTGTAGCTCTCTGCTTTATCTGTCAGAATTTTCTCAAGCAGAGAGCTACAGTTCTGCAGCTATTTGTAATATGAAATATTATGTTTGTCAAAATAATATCAATGAAACGTTTTATATATATTTACACGCAACCTTTATGTTTACAGGTGCTTTCTGGAATGGAAAAGCAAGAATCCACAAACGAACAGCAATATCCAAATATATTTTTCAATTCTTTGCAATGGGAATGACCAATTTTATTCAACTAAAACAAAGTAGCAATATATTTACATGTACTTTATGTTCAATTTCTCTTAAACCTTGTGACGTTATATTCTTTATGTACTTTCAATGTATATTGATAAAGACAATAAAATATGAGTTTTAACTGAATAACTTCAAACTTCTCACATGCACAGTTATTCTGTTATTAATATTCTAAAACCGTGAGACACATTTTAAATGTACCCTATTGATCACTGCCTCGTGCCAAGTTTGTATTCGATATATACATTGTACTAAATGTAGTGATATGTAATCAGTACATTTTTTTCTCTTTTTAAAAAAAGAACCAAAGTTAACGTTTTTAAAAATGAAGTCAAACTTTGAGGTAATACAAAGTACGTTCGCTAGATCTTGTCACACATTATGCTTATGTGTAATATGAATAATCTACCTTCTCTCATTCAGAAATTATCGCACTCTTGTCAGAACAGCAGAGAATACTGGTCTTGGAGAAATTCCCCTGTAAAATCATTTCCCCATGGAAAGTGGCTCTAGAGAAGGTTCCCAAGGAATTAGGCTTATAGTAGGATTTTTCCCACGGGAAAATGACCTCACAAGAGCATTTATCCTACGGAATTCTCTGACCAGATTCAATTTTCGGGGGGAGTCCTACTCTATGTAATAGTTATAAAGTGTGGTTTCCCCAAGAGCCATCACCTATATCGCCGTATTTCCGTCTTGCTCACATAGTGCTTATTCAATACTTTCAGAATACTTGTTAATTTTGAAAAGATTTAAGTGCATATTGTAATCAATCAGTTTCATTATAATCGGACTATCAATTTTATGTGCATTGATTTAAAAAAAAAAAACAGAAGTCTGTAATGAGACTGTAGCTCTACTGGTCTGTACGTATAACAACGGAAAAGCAGCACTTGAATTTGAAACTTTGCATCAGGCAGTAATAAATAGAATTATATATCTTAGTGTCTAATTGTGTGCCAAACTTGATCGAAATCGGACCAAAACTGTAGGAGGAGTAATTAACGTTTTAAAGGAATTTCACAGAAACTTCTATTTTAAGTAACCACAGGAACACCGTTCATCAAAATTAAAAACCGATGCATTAAATTATGTATCTTTATATAGTCTACTTGTGTTTCAAGTTATATTGAAATTAGACAAAATCTACAGGAGGTGTAACGTTTTACAGGAATTTCACAGAATTTTCTATTTTTAGTAACCATGACAACTCTTTCATCAAAATAAAAACCGATGCACTTAATTATGTATCTCAGCGTAGATTACTTATGTGCCAAGTTATATTGAAATCAGACCAAAACTGCAGGAGGAGTACCGTTTTAAAGGATATTTAAAGGATATATAAAAATGGAATGTGAAATGTTAGTCTATAAGTAAGGCAATTTTGCATTGTTTTAAAAATGTAACATATATAATTTACTTCATTTATGCAAATGCCAGTGATTTTATAGAATTACAAGTATAAATAAAACAGTATTATTTTTATGATAACGCCATCATGACTTTACTTTCACTTTTGCGTTGCTTAACTTAGCAACCAATGAAATCACTGTATAACATTTAGACCCTAATTACCGGAAGTCAATGTAGCTTAAAGTTTGTCTTACTATGGCTGACTTCGATCATGAACTTGAGTAACTATTGTTGAACTATAGTAACATCGAACCCGATATAGTTTAACTGGAGTGGCGTAATTTTTCTACCATAGTTCTACCCTCGTGTTTCCGTTGGTAGATCGAGTTAAAGATGGCGCCGATAGGTGAGAATTTACTTTATGCAACTAAATACATTTACTTTTTATTGTTTTTCTTTAGTTTTTTCATTTCGCAAAGGTTGGTTTTAGCTTCAAAATATTCCGGCGATATTTTTGTGTAATTTGGTTGTAATATAAAGGTGGCATAATGGAATTTTGACAAAAATATATTTTAATTTTAAACTACATGATTCAAAAGACATGTGTTGTAATTTTTCATTTTTTTTTTATAGATTAGAGGAATATCCACTACGATACATTAGATAGTCAGGTTAGTAAAGGTTACTTGTAGTAATGTGCTACTTAATTTACACTGATTTTTCCTCATAAATTTGAAGATTGGGGGGTCTTTTTCTGTCTTTTTATTCATACAAACTTTACTGTAACTGAAAAACTAGAAGAGATAATGGTGTTACAATAGCTCTGTCTTAATATTTATTTATGACTTAAGTTGTCCTACAAATAACATTCCCAAATGCACTGAATTCAGACTAGAGCAGTGAAGAGTATAAATTAAGTACATGTAGTTAATAATAACAATTATATAAAATTCATTGATATTCAATATTTTTTTCCTTCAGAATGCCAAAACTAATAATAAAAGGAGCTAACGGTATTCAGCTTGATATTGAATGTGATGAAGCAACGAAGCAGTCTCTTTTGAGTGGGGATACAGGTAGGAATCAGTACTGCTTTTGTTATTTGTAATCTTCTAAGTAAAGGGTCTACGTCAAAATGATGTATGTCAGCAGATATTCACATATCAGTCTAATAAAAATCAGGTCTTTTAATCCCTTTCTGTGTACAGACGTGTATTAATGCTGGCAGGTCAAAGGATAAAATTTTAATCAAATTGATTACATATATATAATCAAAATTTTCTTAATAATTTGTGATTATTTATTGAAAAAATATTAATAGGGAATAATGTATTCTTTCTTAGACCCACAATTAAAGGACATGATCGTCCAAATGCTGATTAAACAGCAACGTCCTGAGCCCCAGGCATCACTAGGTTTGGCAAAAACTTTACAACAGTCAACCCAAGGAACACCTTCAGCAACATCAAGCACAGGTAATTCCAATCCTAAGTCACAGTTGAAAGCATCAGTACCAGATTCATCTTCCACCAGCCCTCTTCAACCAGCAGCTCCTCCCCCTTCAAGTGCGTCCCCATCCTCAAGCGATGAATCTTTGAATGCAGGTGTCCACTTATGGACAGATAAGCAAGAGGACTTGCTTGTCCAGCTCCGTCATGACAGGCAAGACTTGTTCGAAAAAAACAAAAATCATGTGAGTTTGTGGACTCAGATCTCAAGAGACTTATCCAAAGCTTTCAAAGTAAAAATAACACCAACACAGGCCATAAACAAATACAACAATCTTAAGAAAAGATGGAAAGAAATAATCGATTCTGGAACTGGTACTGAGAGGAAGTATTTTAGATTAAAAGAAGACTTTGATCTTATGTATGGAACAAGACAATCTACAAAACCTGCTTTCACAATCGACAGTTCAAGTAGTGATTCCATTGAATGTCCCACTCCCTCCCATGCTGAAACAGTCACTAAGTCAAAGAGTCCAAAAAAAAGTTGCAAAAATGTGCTGAAAAAAAAAAGAGGAAACGCACGTTTTTGAAGAATTGCTGGAACAGCTTGATGCAAAAGAAAAAGAATTTAATGATAAAATTGAGAAATTCCATGCTGAAAAAATGAAAAGGATGGAGAGATTCCTGGATTTATTCGAGAAGAGTATTGAAAAAAAATGAAAAATAACGTATTTTTATACTCAGACAAGACTTAATTGAAAGTGCCATAAATAGAGTTTTGATTTGACATTTGTGTGAAGTTTACATAGGTTAGATTAAATTATGGTGTGGAGTTACACACCTGGTTAGGTGACTTTTTCTTAAAAAGACTGATCTTTTTTGTAGTATGTTTGATTTATCATGTTATGAAGTTACATAGGTAATTTACTTTTATTTAAGCAAGGCACTGCTGATCTTAAATGACTTAAAGGCCTGTTGGTATGAGATTTTTTTTTTCATCATATCATCCAACTGGGTTGTGGGCATCTAATTTTTTTTTATATACTGTATATATTTTTCTACAGTTGTTAAATTTTGTTTTTGTTTTTGTTTTTGTTATTCTATCATACATAAAAATATATGTTTTTTTGTTACAATCAAATGTTTGATATAAAAAATGGTTGAAAAACAAATTCTTGTGTTCTGTAGTGTTTTGAGACACTTAATAATTATAACAAATGTTACTGCAGTGTATCTGCTGCAATGCCAAAATGAAACTGTTGGGTGTAATATTGTAATAAAATCACTTGACATTTATTTCAATTCATTTTCATATATAATTTTGAATACTAGTACTAGTTATAATATCCAATATTTTAAGAATCAAAATTTGATTTAAAAAAAAAAAGAAAAGAAAAACTGAAATTTGATTATCTTTTATTTGGTTAAGGAATATTTACTAGTTGGAGTCTACGAACAACCCCAGCATGACCATTCTGATAGACATTTTCAAACTGATTAGGATGATTGTCAATATCCTGCTCAATAAATCCATCAATGTCATCATTATACTGGACACATAGGTTATGCAACACACAAGATGCATAAATAAGGGTACAGATTTCTCTGTGACTGTGCAGTGGTATATCACGTAATCGTCTGAATCTTCCTTTTAAATGTCCAAATGTCCTTTCCACGTTTTGTCTAACACTCGAGAGTCTCTTGTTAAATTTCATTTGCTGTCTTGTCCGTTGTCCAATATTTTTGAATGGCGTGATGAGCCAATTCCTAAGTGGATAGGCATTGTCACCTGCTATGTAGGAATTAGGAGTTATTAGTTCTCCTGCCTCAGCTCTGCGGTATAATCCAGAGTTTCTGAGAACTCGTGCGTCATGGACACACCCAGGCCAACCAGTATAGCAGTTCAAAATTTTCAAATTGTGGTCCACAACAACCTAAATATCAATAATGAAAACTGAATAAGTATAAAAACTGATATAAATTAAGGTGGAACAAATATAACAAAGTATGTTTTCAAAATTGTAAACAAAAGTGATATATCTCCAACACATTAATTTTACCTGTAACTGAATGGAAGGAAACCCTTTCCTATTATAATAATCTTTCTCTCCTTGCAGTGCACTCGAAAGTTGAATGTGTGTCCCGTCAATAAAACCTACTATACCTGGGAGTGAACACATATCCTGAATTTCTGTTGCAGTACACTGTTGTTGTGCAGGGGATGGCCACTGTATCACCTGTTAAAAAACTTTCACAATGTACTTGTACCTCTTACACAATTGCTTTTTTTTTTCAAATGTTAAATTAATTTAAGTTTTCACAATGTCCCATAGAGTGATGATTTGTTTTTTTCAATTTGAATTTATCAGTGTTCATCGATCACAACTTTTCACTACTGAAGACAAGAAGCTTTTTTTGGTTATTTTACTTACCCTGTCACCAAGCTGCACAAGTGCATCACAAACATCTTTAACAATGCCATGTACTGTCGACATTGAAAGTCCAAAAACATGTGCCACCTCTCTCATGGATGATGTGTTTGCGATGTACCATAAGGCAACTAACATTTGCTTGTCCGGGGGCACATTCATCTGTGGACCGTGGCCGTTTCTATAGAGAGTGTTGGATAGTTCATTTAACATGGATGTAAAGAGCTCTCGAGATACCCGAAAATGGGTTTTGAAGTCATCCATATGTTGCGGTTCGTCCATCAACTCCACCACGTTTAAAACTTACTCTTCTACTTTTGGAACGCTGTCTCGCTTTGAAGAATATTGAAATATAACATTCTTCTTCCTTTCTGTACATTCATGGACATGTACGCACTCTATTTCACTCTCATCATTAAAAATTTCCAAGAATAAATTAAAAATACAGCCATTGACAGCCATTGTTTACAACTACAGTTAAACGAAAGTAGATTCGATCAAACCAGCAATTGGCGCATGCGCTGTTTTACTTTCGTATTTAACTATAGTAAGTGATCGAAGTCAGTCCACGATTCCAGCTGATTATCGATGAATAAATAAGCATTTTACAACAAAAGATCTTTATAGGAGACGTCAGCGATGTAGAAAAATATCTCTTGGGGCGAACTATGTCAAGATAATGTAGGTGTATGATTGATTTATTAGTAAATACAAGCTTGAAGCGGGGTTGCCCGAAAATGAGTTAGGTACCTTGTGGTAAATATAGGTAGGGGGACCCCGTATACGAAACAAGTGCCTGTGATCTCAGCGTAGTTTTCGTGTGTGCCAAGTTATATTGAAATCAGACCAAAACTGCAGGAAAAGTAGTCTGTTAAAGGAATTTCAAAGATATTTCTATTTTTAGTAACCACGGCAACACCGTTCATCAAAATCAACAAGAGGCCCGTGGGTCACATCGCTCACCTGAGCACTGTGGCTAGAAAAAAGCAGAAATCCGTTCATTATTGAAAAGTTTAAACCTAAAAGTGGTCCCAACCATTCCTTAAAGGAGACAGGATATGATATGAGTAAACTTGAAACTACACTAAGGATGCTTGCATATTTCTTTGACTACCTGTGGCTTTATCACCCTTACATTTGAACTTAAATTGTTGCTCATCCCCACCTTTCCCAACTAAAATATGACCATTGCTGTCCTTGAAATATTTTCCCTATTCCTATTAAGTAAAATTTTGATCGTCCATTGTGGCGCTGCTCCACCCCAGAGGTCATGATTTAAATAAACTTGAATCTACACTTTCTGAGGATTCTATCATATAAATATGATCAATATTAAGAAGAATTTTAATAAATTTAATACTACATATTTCAATATAATTCCAATCTTAATTTTATTTATTGATTCCCTGTGATTTGATTGGACGAGAACAAATTCAAGAAAAAGTTTACACATCGATGAATTGTTCAATCAGAACTACTTTCTTGACTGTTCAATGTTGTAAAAACAATGAAAACAGATACTTCTAGTCCGTTTTTATGCTAATTTAAAATTATGATTACAAGAAACTTGAAATAAAAATGAATGAATGAATGAATGAAAAGGAGATACACAGGACTGACAGACGGGAATATTCTGTTTATGTTACTGTCGGATCACGAGTGTGAATTTTAAAAAATCGCTGATCATGCTGTCATTTTCTCGACGTTCCCTATCAGCTCAGTTGGAATCGTTGTGATAGGGAAAAGAAACGTACCTCAGACTCTTGCCTTTTCAGCATCAAATTCGTATATTTACATCTTACAGATCCCATATTCTCCCTAAATCTTTGAACGAACCAGAGCAAATCGAGGACGTCGTCGGTCAGCAACTTTCGCTATGACTTTGTCGTTAATGTCAAAATGGCCATGGTCAAGGACGAATTATTCTGGAGAATACGCGTATTTACGATATTTGTTGACTTAAACAACATTCAGTGAGTTTTTGTAAGTTTATTTATTGATTGTTTTGACAATTTAAGTTGGATTTTATCGATACTCATCTTGTATACGTTTCTTTGCGGCATAAAGTATTCCTACGCCGTACAAAATAACGGATTGTATGGCGGCCTCAAAGAGAAATAATTCTAATAATTTTAAAAATTCTTAATTGGAATTATAAGAATTAAACGTTCTTTTTTCAGAATTTATCGATGTGTAAACTCTGCCTTTTTATTCACAAACTTTACATAAAAGTGCTTCGCACTTTTATTCAGTTTGTGAGTAAATAGGCAGAGTTTACACATTGATGAATTCTGAAAAAAGAACGTTTAATCCTATAGTAAAACTTTGATTAGCCATTGTGGCCCTGCCCTATACCCGGGGGTCATGGTTTGAACAAACTTGAATCTTAACTACCTGAGGATGCTTCCATATAAATACTAGTATGATTAGTCATGGCTGTGCTATCATTCTTACTACTGATAAGGTTTTAACTGACATTTGTTGAATCAATATGGGGAGGGCATGTATTAAAACAGATGATGTCTGTGCAGAAAAATAAGAGATGACGCATATTTGTGATATATATTAAGCACACAGGTCAAAACATCCTTTCAAATATTATGCAAAAATTATTAAATCGGTCAAAAATTTCAAAATGACAAACCTGTTCTTTTGAAAAGTAATCTATCTTTCTTATACCTAGGCTCATCAGCTTGTCTGATGCAAGAGAAGCTATGAAGGAACAAAAGTAGATTATCCTTTATTTTCACTCAAAATAAATAGCATTTCTATCATTCAAACGCTTTAAAGATGTTATGTATTTTCATATGGAAAAAAAATCCTATAACTTTCTGCTAGAAATTAAATGCTAAAATTCTAAAGCACACCCCTGTGATTTTGTCATTCTTGAAAATTCTTCTCTATAGGTAAGGCTACTTTGAAATTTTTGAAAATAGTTCATCATGGAACAAACTTTCTTAAAACCCTCATTTCTATGTTAAAATTTGATCGGCCATTATGGCCCAGCCCTACCCCCGGGAGTCATGATTTGAACAAACTTGAATCTACACTACCAGGGGATGCTTCCATATAAATATGATCAATCATGGCTGTGGTATTCTTAATAAGACGATTTTTAAAGAATTTTCCGATACATATCTCTGTAAAACTCGGATAGGCCATTGTGGCTCCGCCCTACCTACCCCCGGGAGTCATGATTTGAACAAACTTGAATCATCTACACTACCAGGGGATGCTTCCATATAGATATGATCAGTCACGGCTGTGGTATTCTTAATAAGAAGATTTTAAAAGAATTTTCCGATAGATATCTCTGTAAAACTCTGATAGGTCATTGTGGCTCCGCCCTACCCGCGGGAGTCATATAAATATGATCAATCATGGCTGATATTCTCGAGAAGAAGATTATTAAAGAATTTTCCTATATATTTCTATGTAAAACTTTAATAGGCCATTGTGGCCCCACACTACCCCCGGGGATCATGATTTGAACAAATTTGAATCTATACTACCTGAGCATGTTTCCAAATAAGTTTCATCTTTCCTGGCACAGTGGTTCTTGAGAAGAAGATTTTAAAGATTGGACTTTTAGATATATTCCTATGTAAAACTTTGATCTTAAATTGTAGCCCCGCCCAACCCCCGGGGATCATGATATGAACAAACTTGAATCTACACTTAGTCTACCTGAGCATGTTTCCATATAAGTTTCATCTTTCCTGGCCCAGTGGTTCTTGAGAACAAAATCTAACAGATTTTTCCTATATACTCCAAAGTAAAACTATGATCGTCAATTGTTGCCCCAACCTACCCCCGGGATTTCATCTTTCCTGGCCAAGTGGTTCTTGAGAAGAAGATTGAGAAGAAGATTTTTACATGTACTGGTGTTTATTGATAACATTTTGTCGTGAAATTGTGATGTCTAAAATTGTTTACAGACTGACGGACAGACAGACAGACACCTTACTATCGCATAAGCTCTTCTGGTCTCTGTCCAGTAGAGCTAAAAATGCAATCTTTTAAAAAAGAAATTCATTATGAGTCAGGTGAGCTGACTGAGCAGCCGTTCTTACAGCGTGACTTCTAGATATTTAAGCAGAGGTTTTACAAATGTACAAAGTGTATGTATTTTTAATGTATAACAAATCTTGACTCAGCCTCAAGCCTTTGCAATGAGACTTGGCGAGATGAAATTTATACTTACGACAAAAAGCTTAGATTTTTTAGAATCATGATAGCAAACATGTATTGATGTTTTCTTATGATGTTTTTCCAAAGAATTCTCAATTATGACTAATTTTTTGAAGCCTCATCCTTGGTACTTAACCCATGACCCGAAGGCCCTAAAGTTATATTTGTTGGACTAATAGGGCACTCGTCACGCCCCCGTTTCATTTCCAGATACAGCAATTATTGTATGTCTATTGGTCCAGCAAATGTTTTGTGGCACGCCTACTTTCACGAGCTTCAGTGGCATTTTTCGCGCTACAATTTAGACCGGGATCGAATCAAGCTGAAAGATGGACGTAGATTTTTTGGATAATGACTTCAAAGTTGAAGAAATTGACGACATGATATTGTCTAAAGTTTGCGACGTAGATTTTTTGGATAATGACTTCAAAGTTGAGGAAACAGACGACCTGACATTATCTCAAGTTTGCGACGAAATGGAAGCTTTCGACGGATTACAGAACATGAGCCTTACACAGACGCTTGCCGGGTACGACACAGGATTGGAGCATGGTGAATTTAAGCTTGAATATGACTTTTTGAGAAAAAATGAAAATAGTTCGAATTTGCTGACCACATCAGGTGATTGTTTTGCGGCCCCAGTGACGGAGAGTGAACTGAAATCTCTAATTGAAAGCCAGGAAAACATTAATACTAAACAAAACACTAGATGGGCGGTCAACGTTTTTGAGAAATGGCGAACCGGCAGATCCGAAACTATTCCAGAACTTCAATTCCAGGGCAGCGAGGAAATGAATTACTGGTTACAACGTTTTATAGTAGAAGCTAGACGGCAGGATGGTAAGGACTACCCCCCTAAGAGCCTGTACTTGATTTCATGTGGACTACTTCGTTTTTTTTGCGAGACAAAGGTGTGTACGATAAAAACTTTTTAGACTATTTAGCTTGTTTTCTCCTTTATTGCTATAGTTCCAGTTTTAAAATTTGTTGTGTATTTTTGTAATAGCCTTTTTAATTAAGAGAAGAATTCCATTTTTCTCGAAAACCTTGTTTTTTAGTAAATTTTTCAAAATAAAAAAACACAACTTTCATTGAATTTCCGAAAGTTCTGATAAGCGAAGTGATGCAAGAATGAAGTCGCTGATCGATATTCTTGTTTTGAAAAAGGCATGTAGATAAATGTGTTATAGCAGAAATACGGTTGGTTATTCAACTACTCACCTACCTAGAAAACATAAAAAGGCTGATA